ATTTATAAGCAAAATCAATGAAGCTAGCTCTAGTAACAGCTGCATGATTTATTTAACAACTACATAACAACCATGGCAGAGAAGGCCATAAAATTGGGCATGACTCAATGCTCGGCCCCCGTTTCCGTGGCTTGGTTGCAAACAGCTCACGGCCTACTACGGTATGGTTGGGGATTCCTGTTTTATACAATCCTGGTCAAATGGTTGTCTAGTCTCTTCTTAAGAGCCTCCAGTGATGGGAGCACCCACAACCCAGGGGTGGGTTCTAAATTTTTTTACTACCGGTTCTGTGGGCGTGGCTTATTTTGTGGGTGTGGCTTGGTGAGGGGTAATGTGACTGGGTGGGCGCGGCCAAATTTTTTTTCTTTTCTTTTTTTACTTTTAAAAGCATTTTTTTCTACAACCTTAAGAGGTTGCAGGAAAAAAAATGCTTTGAAAAGCCTCTGACGATCAGGCAATTCAGCTGGCATCGTCAGAGGCTTTTAAAGGCATTTTTTTTAACCACCTCTTCGGCTGAAGAGGTTGCAGAAAACAATGCTTTGAAAAGCCTCTGACGATGCCAGCTGAGCCGCGGGATCATCAGAGTCCTTTTTTTTTTTTTTTACTTTTAAAAGCATTTTTTTGGCTGAAGAGGTTGTAAAAAAAATGCTTTTAAAAGTTAAAAAAAAAGGCTCTGATGAGGTAGGCGGGGTAAGTGAGTGGTGACCGGGCCGGGGACCGGTTTGGGGGCGTGGCCAGCCAATGTTATTACCGGTTCTCGGAACTACTACAAATTTTTACTACCGGTTCTTGTAAACCGGACCGAACTGGGAGCAAGCCACCACTGCCACAACCTCTGGAGACAAGCCATTCCGCTGTTTAATTGTTCTCACCATCAGGAAATTTCTCCTCAGGTTCCTCCTCTCCTTGATTACTTTTCCATCCCTTGCTTCTTGCCCTGCCTTCTGGTGCTTTGGAGAACAAGTTAGCCCTTCCTTCTCCATGACAACTCCTCAACTACTAAAAGACAGCTATCATGTCTCCCCGTAATCCTTCTCTTTGATTGGGTAGACATACCTCCCTCCAGTGGTGGGATTCAGCCGGTTCGGGAGAACCGGTTGTTAACTTTCTGAGCAGTTTGGCACACTGGTTGTTGGAAGAAATCATTAGGGCAGAGAACTGGTTGTTAAATTACTTGAATCCCATCACTGCCTCCCTCCCTCAACTCTTCATCATACAGTTTAGCCCAGTGATGGCTAATCTTTTTCTCTTTGTGTGCCAAAAGTGCACATGTGTGTGCCGGCACCCACAACAGAATGCGTGCGCCCCCCCACGCATGCACACATGTCCCGCCCCGGTTTTGGGCCTCTCTGCAGCCTCCTGGGCCCAAAAACGGGCTGTGGGGGAGGTTACGCCACCCCCACCCCACGCTCCACCCCATCCCCTGCGCATACATGTGCGACCCCCAGCGCATGCGTGCGCATCTCCCGCATACGCCCCACCCCCTGCACATCCCAAAAATCAGCTGGCCGAAAGGAGGCACGTGCACGCATGCGCAGTGGAGCTGAGCTAGGCGACGGCTCGCGTGCCATAGGTTCACCATCCCGAGTTTAGCCTCCAGAGCACTTATCATTTTTATTGCTCTTCTCTGCACCCTTAAAATTAAGGTCTCAGCCACTTTTCTGTATCGTGGTGTCCAGAACTGGAGGCAGCATTCCAAGTATGGAATACCTCACCAGAAATGGTGGGTTCCTCCCGGTTTGGTCCGGTTCGGCTGAGCCGGTAGCGGTGACGATATGACGTCATGGAACCGATTCTCCCCCCCCGCCCTCCCAACCCCCCATGTTATTCTTACCTTTTACTTGGTCCCACCCCCAATCTATTGCTGCCCCAGCTGATGACTAGAGGGAAAAAAACTGTTTAAACTCTTGCCGCGGGGCTTCAAAGGGCCGTCCTACAGCTGATCAGTGTTAAAAGCAAACAAATGAGTCGGGTCGTAAGTGCGAGGACTGGTCGTAAGTGCAAGGACCTTCCAGAAATGACTCTGACCAGCTAGCCACGCCCACCTAGTCACATGACCTCCAAGCCACACCCACAAAATAAGCCACGCCCACAAAACCGGTAGTAAAATAATTTAGAATCCACCCCTGCTCACCAGTATGGTATAAAGAAGTGTTATCACTTCTGCTGATCTTGATGCGGTCCCTCTGCAGTCAGCTGACAAATTCTCCAAAGCACCAGAGGGCAAGACAAGAAACCATGGATGGAAACTAACCAAGGAGAGAAGCAACCTGGAATTAAGGAGAAACTTCCTGACAGGGAGGACAATTAACCAGTGGAACGGCTTGCCACCAGAAGTTGTGGGGGTGTTTCCAGGGATGGGCTGCTGGGGGTTCGCAGGGGTTTAGGAGAATCGATTCTGTGCAGTTCGGAGAACCTCCAAATCCCACTCCTGGCTTGCCCCGCCCACCCTGCCCCTCCCCCACGCGGCCCGTTTGGATGCAGGTAAGTGCAGGGTGCGCACGGAGGCTCGGGAAGGGTGAAAAATGGGCCTACCGGAACTTCAGAAAGGCCCATTTCTGGCCTCCAGAGGGCCTCCGGAGCCTGAGGAGGCTGTTTTCACCCTTCCGGAGGCTCGAGAAAAGCCTCCGGAGCCTGGGGAGGACAAAAACGCTCCCCCACCCCCGTGGGGCAGAAGGCTGACTAGGCCACGCCCACCATGGCCACGCCCACCCAGCAACTGCACAGAGAGCCCCTTGCTAAAATTTCTGAAGCCCAACCCTGGATGTTTCATCAGTGAGGTTTTTAAGAAGAGACTGAACCACCACAGTTCGCCCTCCTCCACGGAACAGCCTCAGCTACTGTTCACACCAGAAATAAGAGCTCTAAGCATTTCCATGGAAAGATAACGTGCCTCCTCCCTCTTTGCTCAGTCCTTTTTTTTTTTTTCCTAGAGGGGAAGCTGCCAATAAATAGATAGATTAGATAGAACGATAGAACGATAGAACGATAGATAGATAGATAGATAGATAGATAGATAGATAGATAGATAGATAGATAGATAGATAGATAGATAGATAGATAGATCGAACATTGGATGGATGGATGGATGGATGGATGGATGGATGGATGGATGGATGGATGGATAAAAACATTAGATAGATAGAACAATAGATAGATGATAGAACAATAGAATGATAGATAGGAGAGAGAGGGAGAGAGGGAGGGGAGAGGGAGGGAGAGAGAACATTAGATGGAGTAGGTAGATGATAGAACGATAGAACGATAGATAGGAGAGAAAGGGAGAGAGGGGGGAGGGGAGAGGGAAAGAGGGAGGGAGGGAGAGAGAACATTAGATAGAATAGATGACAGAATGATATAACGATAGATAGGAGAGAAAGGGAGAACATTAGATGGAGTAGGTAGATGATAGAATGATAGAAAGGACAGAGAGGGAGAGGGGGGAGGGGAGAGAGAGGGAGAGAGAGAGAACGTTAGATAGAATAGATAGAATAGATAGATGATCGAACGATCGAACGATAGATAGGAGAGAGAAGGAGAGGGAGAGGGGGGAGAGAGTGGGAAGGAGGGAAGGAGAGGGAAGGAAGGAGGGAGAGAGAGTGGGGAGAGAGGGAGGGAGAGAACATTAGATAGATAGAACAATAGATAGATGAGAGATAGAATGAGAGAACGATAGATAGGAGGGAGAAGGAAAGAGGGGGAGAGAGAGGGAGGAAGGAGAGAGAGGGAGAGAGAGCGGGAGAGGGAGGGGGAGAGATAACATTAGATAGAATACAATGATATAATGATAGATAGGAGAGAGAGGGAGAGAAAGGGAGGGAGAGAGAGTGAACATTAGATGGAGTAGGTAGATGATAGAACGATAGATAGGAGAGAGAGGGAGAGGGGGGAGAGAGGGAGGGAGAGAGAGAGAACATTAGATGGAGTAGGTAGATGATAGAACGATAGAACGATAGATAGGAGAGAGAGGGAGAGAAAGGGAGGGAGGGAGAGTGAACATTAGATGGAGTAGGTAGATGATAGAACGATAGAACGATAGATAGGAGAGAGAGGGAGAGAAAGGGAGGGAGGGAGGGAGAGAGAGAGAACATTAGATGGAGTAGGTAGATGATAGAACGATAGAACGATAGATAGGAGAGAGAGGGAGAGGGGGGAGAGAGGGAGGGAGAGAGAGAGAACATTAGATGGAGTAGGTAGATGATAGAACGATAGAACGAGAGAGAGGAAGAGAGGGAGGGGAGAGGGAGGGAGGGAGAGAGAACATTAAATAGAATAGTTAGATGATAGAATGATCGAAGGATAGATAAGAGAGGGAGAGAGAGGGAAGGAGGGAGGGAAGGAGAGAGAACATTAGATAGATAGAACAATAGATAGATGAGAGATAGAATGAGAGAACGATCGATATGAGGGAGAGGGAAAGAGGGGGAGAGGGGGGGAGGGGGAAAGGAAGGAAGGAAAGAGAAAGAGAGAGAGAGAGAGAGAGAGAGATTGACATTCTCCCAGGCCCCGAAGAGCCCAAATGGCGAGTTAACCAAACCGGACCGAAGTTTGGCCAAATTCAAGCTCCGCCCGCCTGGCACTCTCGGAGGAAGAGCGGCCGGAGATGGGGAGGGGGGGGGGGAACGGACAGCCCAATCCATCCCCTCTCTCGGGCCCGCCTTTCGGGATGGAGACCCAGCCTTCCACACCCGCCAGCCGGGGCCCCCAGCACCCACGGGGGACCGGGGGGGTGGGGGGGGGTGGGGGGTGAGACCCCCCCCACTTCCCCGAAGTTCGCGGGCGGGGGCTCTTTGGCCTCCCCCACCCCCCCACCCCAGAGACCTTCCCCCCCCCGCTCCGCCTTCCTTCCCCCCATCCGATCGAGCCCGCCGGAGCCCCCCGACCCTGGCCCGAGCTCCTGCCCCGATCCCCTCCGCCTCCCCGGCCGCAGCCCTCGATCCAGCTCGCCCCTCCGGCCTGGCTGCCCTCCGGCCATGCAGGGCGAGGAGCGCACGACTTACCGCCTTGCTGGACCGAGGTACCAAGCCCGGGTCCACGGTCTGCTCGCTTGGCACGGCGCGGCTCGGCTCGGCTCGGCTGCCAGCGGAAACCGGGACGGGGCAGGCGGCGCCGGGACGGCCGGGCGGGGAGGGACGGAGGCGGAGGCGGAGGCCGGGCGGTGCTGCCCCGAGAGCCAACCCAGCTGCGCGGCAGGGAGGGCAAGGCGCCTCCCCGCTCCGGGTTGAGTCCCGGCCTGGCTGCCTTCTTGCCTTCCCGGGGCTCCTAAAAGGGATCCGCCGCTGGATGGGATCAATGGATCGCTTCTCTGGGCTCCGTCCTCGGACTTTTCCTGGGTCCACCCGAGTGGGAGAGGAGAGGTCGTCCTCCACTTACGACTCCAACCGAGCCCCACGATTATGTGGTTGAGTGAGACAGTGCTTTTGCCCCGTTTTACGACTTTTCTTGCCCCCTTGGTTAAGCGAATCCCTGCCGTTAAATGGAGTAACCCGGTTGTTAAGTGAATCTAGACTGTCCAAACTAGACTGTTGTTTCTCTGTGTCGTTAGATAGATGGATGGATGGATGGATGGATGGATGGATAGACAGACAGACAGACAGACAGACAGACAGACAGATAGATGAGAGAGAGATGATAGATGGATGGATGGATGAGAGAGAGAGATGGATAGATAGATGAGAGAGCGAGAGAGATGGATATATAGATAAATGAGAGAGAGATATGGATGAATAGATAGATGAGAGAGATATGGATGGATGGATGGATGGATGGATGGATGGATGGATGGATGGATAGACAGACAGACTGGAAGACAGACAGACAGACAGACACAGATAGATGAGAGAGAGATGATAGATGGATGGATGGATGAGAGAGAGAGATGGATAGATAGATGAGAGAGCGAGAGAGATGGATATATAGATAAATGAGAGAGAGAGATATGGATGGATAGATAGATGAGAGAGATATGGATGGATGGATGGATGGATGGATGGATGGATGGATGGATGGATGGATGGATAGATAGACAGATAGACAGATAGATAGATGAGAGAGAGAGATGATAGATGAGAGAAAGAGAGATATGGATGGATGGATGGATGGATGGATAGATGAGAGAGAGAGAGATATGGAGATAGATAGATAGATAGATAGATAGATAGATAGATAGATAGATAGATAGATAGATAGATATAGATAGATGAGAGAGAGAGATGATAGATGAGAGAGAGATATGGATGGATGGATGGATAGATAGATGAGAGAGAGATATGGATATAGATAGATAGATTAGATAGAGAAACAGACAGACAGATATAATTTTGCATTTATTTATTTATTTATTTTGTCAGGTTCTTGTAGTGTAGGTTGGAGGTGGTGACCCTTTGAGAGCTGTATGCAACGAAAGTTCATTTCTAACTTTATCAGCTACGGGGGATTCACTGAAGAAAGCCGTAGAGCAGGGCAAAAACTCACTTGAGAAATGTCTCACTTTGCAACATAAATCTTGGGCTCAATTGTGGTCGCAAGTCGAGGACTACCTGTAACAACTTTCCTGCACGTTAGCCCTGATAGCACAAGCTTATTTTTTCTTTTTAATATTTAGCAGCAGACCAGCTTTGACATTCTGTTCTTTCACTTTAGAATGACGGAATAATGGAAGGGACCTTCGGAGGTCTTCTAGTCTAACCCCCTACTCAAGCAGGAGACCCTATACTATTCCAGACAAATGGTTGTCCAGTGTCCTCTTAAAAACTTCCAATGATGAAGCATTCTCAACTTCTGGTGGCAAGTTGTTCCACTGGTTAATTGTCCTCACTATCAGGAAGTTTCCCCTTAGTTCTAAATTGCTTCTCTCTTTATTCAATTTCCATCGGTTGCTTCTTTTAAGTTTCCCTCTGTTCATCTGAGTGGTATCATCAGCATACTCCATTTTCGGCTGATTTTCTCCAGCAATTTAATTTATTTTATTTTATTTGTTGTTCCTTCTAACCCAGCCTTCCGAAGGATACAAGCCTGCTCTTAAGTTAAATAAATCACTCATGCTCTAGAAAGCAGAAGTGGAGTATAAAATCAACTTGATAGGTTGGGCAAACGGGCAGAAATTGACAGGATGAAATTCGAGGGTTTGCAAAGCTGAAAGCCCTCACAAAAGAGAAGCCCCATTTGCTGCCGAGATTCCCTTCCCGCCAAAACGGCAGGATCCAGTTCCTGAGGCCAATTTTTAGTTCACCAAAAAGAAGATTTTGCTTCGTTGCACAGGGTGGTTCCCAGATAATTGCTAATAACTACCTTGGGTGCTCATTTGAGGTGAAAAGCCAAATATATAGCTAGTCCTTGACTTATGACCTGTTGCCTAGCAACCGTCCAAAGTTATGACAAACCTCCCCAGAGCTATTTTATGTCCCGGTTCCGAAGTTTTGATGGCTGCCCCTTCTCCCCTTTATGGCCATGTGATCACATTACGGGCTGCATTTAATAGGATCCCACATTTCTTTCGTTGTTTTTCAGGAAACCAGTGCTTAATTCTGGTTTCTGGCAAAAAAATAATAATAATAACCCACCCCATTGGGTACAGTGGTTTTCCTTAATGACTGCGGTGCTTGCTTAGCAACGGTGGAATTTAAATAACAACCACTGCAGAAAAGATGGTAAAATTGGGCACCGTCATATAATGAGCCGTTTAACAACCAACACAATTTACGAGCATAATTCCAGGCTCAATTATGGTCAGTTAAGTTGACGACTGCCTGTATATGGAAGATCTAAAGACTCAGAGCAGGAAAAAAGTGCAGGTTCTCTCAACTCGACTTACGACCACAATTGAGCCTAACATTTATGTTGCTAAGTGAGACATGTGTTCAGGGAGTTTTTGTCAGTGTGTGAGAGTTCATGAATTGGAATAGACATGGTAACAGGTCAGCCAATGGGGATATATATGTGTGTGTGTGTGTGTGTGTGTGTGTGTGTGATTATTGATACTTCTGGATTCTGAGTTCTGGTTCTGGCTTCTGCTGTATGGGTATTGTATATAAAGACGTTTCTTTTATAAATGAATCCTGCTGAATTGTTTACTTGTGTGCTGGTTGGATTGCTGCAAACTCTTTTAACAGTTTTGCCCCATTTTACGACTTTCCTTGCCGCGGTTGTTAAGTGAGTCACTGGAGCTGTTCAATTAGGAACACGGTTGTTAAGTGAATCTGGCTGCCCCGTCGACTTGGCCTGTCGGAAGGTCGCAAAAGGGGATCACGTGACACTGCCACCGTCATAAATGTGAGTCGGTTGTCAAGCATCTGAATGTAAATCACTTGACCGTGCGTGGGGATGCTGCAACAGTCATAAAGTCTGAAAAATGGTCATCCGTCACTTTTTTTCAGTGTCGTCGTAACTTAGAAGGGTCACTAAGCGAACTGTTGTAAATTGAGAACTTCCTCTGCATCTATTCATATATGGTTTTAAAACCCGCCTTTTCTCTTTTTCTCAAGGCATTAACAAAGGATCTCCCTATCTCTATATTCTGCGAGGTAGGTTGAGTTAGGAGAAGATGAACTGTTCCAGGGCACATCATGAGTTCTTTTGTCAAATGGGATTGGAACTCAGGTTTCACACTAACGGTCTAACCCCAGCCTGATTGCATGGAAGGGCCCCATGAGCTCTTCTGGAGACCCTTGACGGAGAGGCTGTCAGCATTCATGCACAACAGGCATTACACCTTCTCCTACTACAAGTAGCCCCGACTTACAACAGTTCGTTTAGCAACTGTTCAAAGTTACAACGGCACTGAAAAAAGTGACTTATGGCCACAGCGAGTTGACCTGTGTTGAGTTGGCCGCAACGAATTTGGCCATGGTGAGCTGACTGGCGAGTTGTCCGCTTCCGCTTCGCTGTAGCCTTTGTTGGAATCGACTCTCTGATCTCCAGCTCTTGCATGACGTTTGTATGGATTCTTCTGCTCGTGAACTTGTGACCTCTGGATTGTCTCACAACCTTGACCTGGCTCTCAGAGCTTTGGATTGGATTTCGACTATTCTGTACGCTCCTGTTAAAAAAGCAAAACCACTCCAACAAGCAGGTGTTGCTTAGAGACTCTTTTGGATTGCATTCCTTATGTGCTGTTATCTCCTCGACCTTGGGAAAGCTGCTAATTCACCACGGCAACTTCTGTGTGAGTGTATAAACCAGAAGCGGGACAGAATCCATCAAATAATCAGCTAAGCCAGCTCAGAGCATTCATTTATTTTTATTTATTTACATAAGTTATGTCCTGCCTGATTTGACACATTCCAGGTAGCTCGTATAAAATCATAAATATATATATTTTTAAAAATTACAAGAACAATCAATTGCACCAATCAGCATCATCTAACTATCCCTTGAAGCCCAAATCATACAGTCATTATCCTGATGGCATGAAAGTGTTACTCTGTACATCCACCATCCACAAATCACTTTCCAGTTAGTTTGGTTTTTCTAGCTGGATCTGGAGTTGTTAACATCGTAACTGCTAACTTGGGGTAATAATCCGCTTGCGTTTTCAGATTAAATTTATTTAATCTCCCTGCTGACCTGGATGAGGGTTGTCTGAAGTTCTCTGAATCATTGCAACTGGCCTCATTTTTTTAAAAAAAATGCAACCTTCAGAAAAATTCTCTCTGGATGACTGAGAATCTTCATTTTGCTGACCTGGATGTTGAGTTCGCACACAGATGGGTTCGCACGAAGTGGCATCTCTGATTTTGAAGGATCGTTTTCAGTCACTGCAGCCTCGGCATATGGACAACAACTACCTGCCTTGATTCCTGTCTAGGTGGCTTTTGAATCTAGTTGATCCAGATTAAGAACCTGTTCTTTGTTACATGAGGGGATAATGCTTAACTTTCCTAAAGAAGGATTCCTGAAGAAACTCCCTTGATCCGTAAGGAATGGTTCAACTATACTTCATTTATCCATGTGTCCACTTAGAGAAGGTATCTGTTTCAGTTTGGCGCCAGATGTGAACCCAATGAAACAGCCTTGTTGATTTAGTCATCAAACGGGTAGGTTTGAATAAAAGATCTAGTGGACATTTGGTAATTCTTTCTGCTCAGGGTAAGAATCCACTAAATTATCTGACAGTGGCCCTCGGGCCATCCAGCAAGCTGAGCCTCTGGTCTTCTAGAGCAGGGGTCGGCAACCCGTGGCTCCGGAGCCATATGTGGCTCTTTTATCCCTCTGCTGTGGCTCCTTATCGCCAGTCGGCTCCACAATTGATAGGGCTTTTGGTTAGGAGAAAGGACGCCACGCTATGGTGGGGGAACCAGACTTCCGGTCGGCAGAGAAAAAAGAACGCCACGCTAGGAGGAGACACTATGGTAGGGGAACCGGACTTCCGGTCGTCTCCAGAATTGAACGGGGGGCTTCCGGTTAGGACCTTTGTGGCTCTTTGAATGTTTAAGATTGCCGACCCCTGTTCTAGAGGCAGAGGGTTCCAGTATGTCTCATCTCCCAAATCCTCCTGAATCTGTCAACCAGTTCTTCTCGCCCTGCTCGCCATTTCAACTGGGAATATATATCTGCCTCTTTTGCATGCAGCAGCCTGTACTTATAACTCCTTTTGTAGACTACGACCGTATCTCATTTCACTCTTCTCCTTTGCAAGCCAAACATGGGTAATTGTTCATTATTCGGCTCGGATTGCAGGTTTTGTAATCCCGACGAGCCACTTCTGAACCTGATCCGGTCTTTTGGGGTCTATGTTTAAAGAGCTGAGCTCAGAAGTGGACACAATCCAGGTCTCACTTAGCAAAGCGCTTAAATATGAGCCAGCAGTGAGCGGCAGCTGCCAGAAAAGCCAACACAGTCCTAGGCTGCATTAACAGAGGGATGGAACGAAGATCACGTGAAGTGTTAGTACCGCTTTATAATGCCTTGGTAAAGCCATACTTGGAATACTGCATCCACTTTTGGTCAGAATGATGAAAAAAGGATGCTGAGACTCTGGAAAGAGTCCAGAAAAAAGCAACACGAATGTTTAGGGGGCTGGAGGCTAAAACGATTGCAGGAATTGGGTATGTCTAGTTTAAAAGAGGGACTAGGGATGACATGATAGCAGTGTTCCAATATTTGAGGGGCTACCACAAGGAACGAGGTCAACCTATTCTCCAAAGCACCTGAAGGCAGGACAAGAAGCAACGGATGGAAACTAACCAAGGAGAGAAGCAACTTAGAAGTAAGGAGAAATTTCTGCAGGTTTTTAAGGAGAGATTGGACAACCATTTGCCTGAAATGGTATAGGGCGGTAATGGCGAACCTACGGCACGCGTGCCACAGCTTGCACGTGGAGCCCTCTCTGCGGGCACACAAGCCGTCGACCAGCTCAATTTCAGCGCACATGCGCGCGCTCCTCCCACCAGCCAGCTGATTTTCAGGTCTGCCGCGTATGAGCGGGTGCAGAGTGCATGTGGGAGATGCGTGTTCATGCGCGGGGGGGCTCACATGCACATGCACGGGGGCAGGGTCACATTTTTGGTCTCAGGAGGCTGTAGGGAGGCCTACTAGGCCCAAAATGGGGCACAGAGGATGCGGTGCGCCCCCCCCCCAGCCCATTTTTGGTCCCAGGAGGCTGCAGGGAGGCCTGCTAGGCCCAAAATGGGGCACGGGGGATGTGGTGCGCCCCCCCCAGCCCATTTTTGGTCCCAGGAGGCTGTAGGGAGGCTTACTAAGCCCAAAATGGGGCACGGGGGGATGCGGTGCGCCCCCCCCCCCACAGCCTGTTTTTGGTCCCAGGAGGGTATAGGGAGGCCTACTAGGCCCAAAATGGAGCGGGGGAGGGGCGTGTGCACATGCGCAGGGGAGCATGAGGGGGATGTCACGCGTGCCTTGCATTATGGGTGCCGGCACACGACGGCAAAAAGGTTAGCCATCACTGGTATAGGGTCTCCTGCTTGAGCAGGGAGTTGGACAAGACGACTTCCAAGGTCCCTTCCAACTCTCTTATTCTGTTCTCTTACAGTCCTGCAGGTTAAAAAGGCCAGTGAAATCTGGATGTCCTCACGTATTTCCCTTTCTTCCTAAATATTTATGATGGGAAAAGAGATGATATATTCCTGGTTGAAGCATCTCTGCTTTTCAAGTCACAGTTAATTACATAGTTTGGTGGCAGGTGAGTTTACCATAACATTACATTGTAAATGTATGAATCCAGGTCAATGCGAAGGGAAGGGAAGCCAGGCTGCAGCCCACACATTCCCGATCCTTCCTTCTCTTGAAGCAATTGTTCTTAGTACAATTGATTAGCAATCATCTTCCATATTTGCATCCCAAGATTTTGCAACACAGAGAAGAGCAACAAAGATGATCAGGGGACTGGAGGCTAAAACATATGAAGAACGGTTGCAGGAACTGGATATATGTCTAATCTAATGAAACGGAAGATTGGGGTGACATGATAGCAGCCTTCCAATATTTGAGGAGCTGTCGCAAAGAAGATGCAGGTAAACCTATTCTCCAAAGCACCTGAGGACAGGACAAGAAGCAATGAATGGAAACTACAGCAGTGACCAAAATTGTGGGAACCTTTTGGGAAAAGTGTATTTTTGAGGTTTGATGGCTAATAACACCACTTTTTTTGGAAGTTTCAAGATAATCAGGAATGGCCTGGGAATAGCCCAGACCTTAACCTAATTGAAAATCTATGAAACCAACTAAAGAAACTTGTTAGTCAAAAGCGACCCAGCAATAAAACCCAGTTAATAGAAGCCATCATTCAATCTTGGTTTCACATTATAACAGAATTAAAAGACTTGGTTCCATCCATGGGAAGACGATGTAAGGCCGTAATTCATGCTAAAGGTTACCCAACTAAGTATGAACTGACATGGCGATCATTTTTGTATATCTCATTTTTTCTATGGTGATAATTTTTGTGTATCTCATTTTTTCTATGTGTTCTTCTTTACACTGTAACTGCCATTCTAACAGCAAATCCTTCATAAAAGTTATTGCATTACATCCTTGATTAAATGATCTTTCCGTTGATATATAATTTTATGGTACTACTCCCCCAAAAAAGTGGTGTTATTAGCTAGTTTTAGAAAATACATTATTATTATTATTATTATTATTATTATTATTATTATTATTATTATTATTATTATTATTATTAATATTTCTATGCCACCCACTCTCCTAGGACTCTGGGCGGCTTACACCAAAGACAGTATACTAAATAGCACATTGCCCCCAACAATCTGGGTCCTCATTTTACCCACCTCGGAAGGATGGAAGGCTGAGTCAACCTTGAGCCGGTGAGATTTGATCCGCTGATCTGCTGAACTAGCAGTCAGCTGAAGTTGCTGCAGTACTGCACCCTAACCACTGCGCCACCTCGGCTCTTGGGAAAAACACTTTTCCCAAAAGATTTCCACAATTTTGGCCACTACCGTAATCAAGGAGAGAAGCAACCTGGAACTAAGGAGAAATTTCCTGACAGAACAATTGACCCGTGGAACAGCTTGCCTCCAGAAGTTGTGGGTGCTCCGTCACTGCAGATTTTTAAGAAGGGACTGAACAGTCATTTATCCGGAATGGAAATAAGGTCTCCTGTCTTGAGCAAGCGGGTTGGACTAGAAGACCTCCACGGTCCCTTCCAGCTCTGACATTCTGTACTCCATTCTAAAATTTCAATCGAACTATGAGGCAAAATGTCTTCCGGTCCTGTAAAAGCCATAAACAATGCCTGACGATATAATCCAGGACTCTGTAGTGTAGGGAAGAGGGAAATGGTTGTGTGTTTATTTATTAAAGGGAGTTCTACGTCTGCTTTATTGCCTGGAACAGCAAGTTGTTTTTTTAGGCTGTTGCTGCAGCTGAATAGTTTTCTCTTTCACGTTGTCTTCCTGCTCTTTTAAAATCCTATGTGAGACAAAAGCAGATGGAGGAGAATTGTTTGTTTTTTTTTTCCCAAGCTGGACCCTCTATTTTATTCTCGTTCCCAGAAGCAGCGTGAAAACATGGAAACATGCGTAGAGATCTTCCTTCTCTCTAGCATTTTAAATTTGGAGACAGAGCGTCCCTGATGCAGAAATACCATGAGGCCCCTTTATTTATTATTTATTTTATTCACTTTAAAACATTTATACGGCGGCTTATCTTTCAGCCAACTCCAGGCAGCTCCCAATCAAGGAGGGTTGTGATTGTGATGGGGGCTTGGGATGGTTCAGCGACGTGTCTGTCACGAACACCACAACCCTCTGAGAGAAACCATTTCACCAATTAATCATTCATGAGTGTGTTAAAAGTAGAAAATGATGGAAAGACCTTCACTATGTGTGCTAAGAATACATCCCATTGGACATTAAAACGAATCTTTTCCTGCTGCACTGAGTGTGTGTGTGTGTGTGTGTGTGTGTGTGTGTGTGTGAGAGAGAGAGAGAGAGAGAGAGGGAGAATGAGATAGATAGAGATGAGATAGATAGATTAGAGAGAGAGGGAGGGAGAGAGATGATTGATACGATAGATGATAGATAGATAGATAGATAGATAGATAGATAGATAGATAGATAGATAGATAGATAGAGGTAGATAGATAGATAGATTAGAGAGATACATAGAGATAAATAGAGATAGATGATTAGATAGATAGATAGATAGATAGATAGATAGATAGATAGATAGATAGAGGTAGATAGATTAGAGAAAGAGGGAGGGAGATGATTGATATGATAAATAGACAGACAGACAGATAGATAGACAGACAGACAGAGGTATAGATAGGTAGATTAGAGAGATAAAGATAGATAGAGATAGATAGATGGTTGATAGGATAGATATAGATAGATAGATAGATAGATAGATAGATAGATAGATAGATAGATAGATAGAGGTAGATAGAGAGGGAGGGAGATGATTGATACGATAAATAGACAGATAGATAGATAGACAGACAGACAGACAGAGGTAGATAGATAGGTAGATTAGAGAGATAGATAGATAGAGATAGATAGATGATTGATAGGATAGATAGATAGATAGATAGATAGATAGATAGATAGATAGATAGATAGACAGACAGACAGACAGACAGACAGACAGATAGAGGTAGATAGATAGGTAGATTAGAGAGAGATAGGTAGATTAGAGAGATAGAGATAGATAGATAGATGATTGATAGGATAGATAGATGATTGATAGGATAGATAGATAGATAGATAGATAGATAGATAGATAGATAGATAGATAGATAGAGGTAGATAGGTAGATTAGAGAGATGAGATAGATAGATTAGAGAGAGAGGGAGGGAGAATGATTGATACGATAAATAGATAGATAGATAGACAGACAGACATAGATAAACAGACAGACAGATAGATAGACAGAGGTAGATTAGAGAGATAGATAGAGATAGATGGTTGATAGGATAGATAGATAGATAGATAGGTAGGTAGGTAGGTAGGTAGGTAGGTAGAGGTAGATAGGTAGATTAGAGAGATGAGATAGATAGATTAGAGAGAGAGGGAGGGAGAATGATTGATACGATAAATAGATAGATAGATAAACAGACAGACAGACATAGATAAACAGACAGACAGATAGATAGACAGAGGTAGATTAGAGAGATAGATAGAGATAGATGGTTGATAGGATAGATAGATAGATAGATAGATAGATAGATAGATAGATAGGTAGGTAGGTAGGTAGGTAGGTAGGTAGGTAGGTAGGTAGGTAGAAAGAATTGTCCTTCTATCACTTTCTGGCATTTATTTGATTCAAGTCCTCTTTTTCTTACCTGGCCAAGTGCAATACAGATGCTTTGGTGTTCTCCCCCGTCAAGGCACTGCATTCGTAAAAAATTATACTGTAATCCTAGAACAGAGCAGAGGAGGAGGGGGGAGATTGTCTAAAATTAAAAGATTCCTAATAGTAGTTTTTTGGCAAAGACAAAGGAACCAGAAGCAAGACACCCCATGGGCCCTAAAATTCAAACACGGAAGATGCATACAGTGAATTCATGCTCTTAACAACTCCGTAGGGTAGAACTAGATTGACAAGACAATTAGAGGGGTTGCAAGAACCCCCTTTTTTCAAATCCCACTTCCCATCCTTTTCCTTCTGTGTTGCTCGAGAGCTCTTGAAGTAGCTGTTCTGTTTGGAGAATAAATGTGACTTCGCTATAAGTAACTGACAGAACAATTAATCGGTGGAACAGAAGTTGCCACCAGAAGTTGTGGGCGCTCCATCACTGGAGGCTTTTAAGAAGAGATTGGACAACCACTTGTCTGGAATGGTAGAGGTTCTCCTGCTTGAGAAGAGGGTTGGACTAGAAGACCTCCAAGGTCCCTTCCGACTCTTGTTATCCTATATTCTGTCCAATACAGACCTCTGACATCTCCAGATTCAGACCAAGCCTACGGATGCGAAACTATCCTTATCGCATTTCCTAAATTATATTCTACAAGTTTCATCCGAAGGAAATTAATGACCCTTGAAAAGTTGCTGTTTCTGGCAAAGAGCACGACTTCGAGATATAAATAATGAATAAATATGCCAGAGAGGATCAATGCCTGTGCTTTAAAAATGTTAAAATAGGTCTTCCGTGCTCTTAAACGAGACTAACCCATCAGAAGAGATTTCTCTGGATTTATGGAGACCTCAGTAGATGGTTAGGATGAAGGGTGTCTGTGGGTATGTCAACAGTTTGTGCTGGAGATGTACATGTAAGTAACTTGACTAGGGTTGACATGACCGCAGCGTTCCAATATCTCAGGGGTTGCCACAAAGAAGAGGGGGTCAGCCTATTCTCCAAAGCAGGACAAGAAACAACGGGTGGAAACTAATCAAGGAGAGAAGCAACTTAGAACTAAGGAGAAATTTCCTGACAGAACAATGAATCCGTCGAACAACTTGCCTCCAGAAGTTGTGAATGCTCCAACCCTGGAAGTTTTTAAGAAGATGTTGGACAGCCATTCGTCAGAGGCTTTCTTGGAGGCTGGGGAGGGCAAAAACAGCCTTCCTCACCCCCTCAGAGGCCCTCTGGAGGCCGGAAATGGCCCATTTGTTGACTTCCAGTGGGATTGGAAGGCCCATTTTTCGCTCTCCCCAGGCTCCAGAACCTTTCTAGGAGCCTGGAGAGGGTGAAAATGCCCTTCCCCACCCCCTGGAGACTCTCTGGAGGCCTGAAACAGCCGGGTAGGCCCGGAAGGCCCGAAAATCAGCTGGCCGGCATACACATGCACACTGGAGCTGAGCTAGGGCAAAGCTCGTATGCCCACTGATATGGCTCCGTGTGCCACCTGTGGCACGCGTGCCATAGGTTCGCCATCACGGGTATAGGGTCTCCTGCTTGAGCAGAGGGTTGGACTAGAAGATCTTCAAGGTCCCTTCCAACTCTGTTATTCTGAGAGATAATTTGGACTTCCTCTACAGCTGCAGACCAGCTGACTTTGACAGCCCCAAAGCAGTGCGCCACAATAAAAACAATAAAGATAGTGTACATACTGTATAGTTTTATATATATATACAGAACAGCCTGATAAAAAGTGAGTGGAATCACGAGGCGCGTGGGAAAAGAAAAACCTGAAGGAGAAAGTAAGGATGTGGCTCTAATGGAGGTTTCTTTTAACCCCCCCTTTTTTTTCCAATGATAAATAAAAATTCACGGGCCCTCCTTGTATGCAGGCTAATGCTCGCAGTGTGGGAAACGACCTTGAATTCCCGATAAATCAAGGCAAATATGGTTGAACGGTGATAATGTGGGAAGCCTCCCAGGATGGCAACAGAAGGATAATCTGGGATCAAAAAGAAGGGATCAAAAGGAAGGAGTTGTGCATCTCAGATAAAAGAAGTGGGGGAGAGAACAAAACAACGTTAATAAAACATGATTATCATTCACCCAGCCAAGGAGGAGATATGCAGGATGCTTTTCTGAAGGTGAAATCCTGATCTGATAATCTCTTTGAAAGAACTTCTGGGAAATCTCTGAACGGTGTCCCTCTTTCAGAGAGGGCTGGAAGGACGACAGGAACCATCGTCCCCGACTTGACGTTAATGAATACAGGTATGAATTCATACGGAAGGCAATCTCCATTTGCACTTGTACAGGACAGGGTAGTCCTCAACTTACGGCCGCAACTGAGCCAGCGTTTCCGTTGCTAAGCCAGACAGTTGTTTACGTTGGAGTCGTACAACCATTTCACAACCGTTTTTTGCCGCCGTTAGGCAGAGCGCTGCCGTTGTTAACTGAATCATAGAGTCCTTATTTATTTTATTATTTATTTATTAGTTGAACTTATATGCCGCCCTATCTCCGAAAGGACTCAGGGCGGCTCACAACAATAAAACACACAAAGTTAAATTTTTTTTAAAAATACTCAATAAAACTATAAAAACCATTAAAATCCCCTCTAAAACCCCTTCAGTCCAAGCCGGCCAGGCGAAATAGCCATGTTTTAAGGCCACGGCGGAAAGAGCGAAGGTCAGGGGCCACCCGGAGCCCCACGGGGAGCTGATTCCACAGGGTAGGTGCGCCCACAGAGAAGGCCCGCTCCCTAGGGGTCGCCAACCGACATCCTGCGTGAGCTGCACTGGTTCCCGGTGGTCTTCCGGGTGCGCTTCAAGGTGTTGGTTCTCACCTTTAAAGCGCTCCATGGCTTAGGGCCAGGGTATTTATGAGACCGCCTGCTGCTACCGATAACCTCCCACCGGCCAATACGCTCTCACAGAGAGGGCCTCCTCAGGGTGCCGTCGGTCAAGCAATGTCGGCTGGCGGCCCCCAGGGGGAGGGCCTTCTCTGTGGGAGCACCCGCCCTCTGGAACGAGCTACCTCCCGGAATACGGCTGATTCTGGATCTCCTCACTTTCCGTAAGGCCCTGAAGACTTATTTATTCCAGCAAGCCGGCCTGGCCTGAATAGGTTTTAGGGGTTTTTAATTGTATTGCTAGGGGTTTTAAATTGGGGCGGCCGTTTAATTTAATTTATTGTTAATTATTTTAACTTTTATATTGCATGTTATTTTAATTCTCGGCTGTTCACCGCCCTGAGTCCCTTCGGGGAGAAGGGCGGGATATAAATTTAATAATAAATAAATAAAATAAATTGTCTGGCCGACGGCACCCCAAGGAGGCCCTCCCTGTGGGAACGCACCGGGCGACGGGGAGCTGTCGCTGGCCGCAGATGGTCCACCAAATACCCCGGGCCTAAGCCATGTAAGCAAACCTGGATTTTCCCCGTTGACTTTGCTACTCAGAAGCCAGCTGGAAAGATCCGCAACTGGTGATCATGTGACCCCGGGAATGCTGCAACTATCACACGCCCGAATTTTGACCACATGACCATGGAGATGCTGTAATGGCCATAAATGCTGAGAATCGGTTACCAGTCACTTTTTTTTCAGTGCTGTTGTAACTTCGAACGGTCACTAAACGAATTGTTGTAAGTCAAGGACTACCGGTAGAATCAAGATCATGGGAAGTACTAATACCACTTTATAAAACCCTAGGAAGGCCACACCTGGAATACGGCAACCAATTTTGGTCACCATCCTACAAAAAAAAATATATGCTGAGACCTTGGAAAAAGTGCAGAGAAGAGCAACTAAGAGGATCGAAGGCCTGGAGACTAAAACAGACAAAGAACGGTTGCAGGAATTGGGTTTGGCCAGTCTAGAGAAAAGAAGAAGTAGGGGGGACATGATAGCAGTACTCCAGTATTTGAGGGGCTGCCCCAAAGAAGAGGGCCTCAAGCTATTCTCTAAAGCACCGGAGGGCAGGACAAGAAACCATGGATGGAAACTAATCAAGGAGAGAAGCAACCTGGAATTAAGGAGAAACTTCCTAAAAATGAGAACAATTAACCAGTGGAACAACTTGCCTTCACACATTGTGGGTGCTCCAACACTGGAGGTTTTTAAGAAGAGACTGGACAACCATTTGTCTGAAATAGTATAGGTTCTTCTGCTTGAGCAGGGGGCTGGACTAGAAGACCTCCAAGATCCCTTCCAACTCTGTTAATCTATTCTATTCTATTCTATTCTATTCTATTCTATTCTATTCTATTCTATTCTATTCTATTCTAGGCTAGGCTAGGCTAGGCTAGGCTAGGCTAGGCTAGGCTAGGCTAGTCTATCCTATCCTATCCTATCCTATCCTATCCTATCCTATCCTATCCCATTCCATATTTTCTAGTCTAGTCTAGTCTAGTCTAGTCTAGTCTAGTCTAGTCTAGTCTAGTCTATCCTATCCTATCCTATCCTATCCTATCCCATCCCATCCCATTCCATATTTTCTATTCTATTCTATTCTATTCTATTCTATTCTATTCTATTCTATTCTATTCTATTCTATTCTATTCTATTCTATTCCATTCCATTCCATTCCATTCCATTCCATTCCATTCCATATTTTCTATTCTATTCTATTCTATTCTATTCTATTCTATTCTATTCTATTCTATTCTATTCTATTCTATTCCATTCCATATTTTCTTTCTTTTCTAGTCTAGTCTAGTCCAGTCCAGTCCAGTCCATTTATTCTATTCTATTCTATTCTATTCCATTCCATTCCATTCCATTCCATTCCATTCTATATTTTCTTTTCTAGTCTAGTCCAGTCCAGTCCAGTCCATTTATTCTATTCTATTCTATTCTATTCTATTCTATTCTATTCTATTCTATTCTATTCTATTCTATTCTATTCTATTCTATTCTATTCTGTAATGATTTTTAGGAACACAAGAATCTGCTCCAAAGTAGACAGAAAGGAAAGGAAACCTCCAAATTCCCTTATCAGGAAGTTAACAGCTCAGTGAGTAGAAAATGAAACGGCTCCTGAGGCTTTTGTTGAAACAAGCTACTGAATCAAGGGATTCCCCCCCACTCCTACAACCGGGAAAAACAAGATGTAGCAGAATAAGCATATTTACTTATGACAATCACAGAAACAGTGGGGTTCCATATTTCTAAGGCTATCCCTAACCTCAATAACAGAAGGAAGAGATTCACTGAATAAATTCGCTTAAGAAGTGGTTTCCAGGGCTATGTGCTAACGGAATATTTATTTTATGCCTAGATTATCCAGTGTTCTCTCTTCTTACTGTACCTTGGCTAGATGTTCCCCCAATCGCTTAGGAACCTCTCGTTCTTTTTCCTTATCGACTTTATTGCCGAGCAAAAGGACGGGGATGTTCTCTCCAGCTGCCTCCTAGGAAATAAGGAAAAGCAATTGAAGGAGAGAGAATTCTCCGGCAGGAATATATGAAGAAAGCAATCCACAAACTGACAAACGGAAGCATTTATTAGGCTACCAACAAGCCCTGAATCATCATCATTTTCTTTTAATGACCCCATAATCCCTTGCGGGGTGGAATATGGGCAACTGAATGAAGCTAGCTGACTGTTTTAATGTCCGGATGCCCTTCCTGTCACCAATGCGGAGTAATATTCAGCAGATATATTCTCATTGTGCCAAGAGAGAGAAATATCTGCCTCTACCTAGGATCGAACTCACAGCCTCCTGATTGTGAGGTGAGAGCTCCACCTCTGGGCCACCGCACCGCTCCACCCATAAGCCCTGAATGATATTGTGAAAAGACTGGAGTTTCTGAATCAAGGAGGAGAATTTAAAGCTAGGCGCTGTAATTCCATCATCATATATGTTTGTTTTGGGTTCAAAAACTTCTTCAGCTTATAGATTCTCTCCCAGTCTTTCTAGTTAGAGAATACTTTTTGGCTATTCTGGTACGGATCAAACGGTCTGGAATTCCAATCCCAGCAACTTAAATATACCCTATGCACAGGGGTGAAATCCAGCAGGTTCTGACAGGTTCTGAAGAACCGGTAGCGAAAATTTTGAGTAGTTCGGAGAATCAACAAATACCACCTCTGGCTGGCCCCAGAGTGGGGTGGGAATGGAGATTCTGCAGTATCCTTCCCTCAGGAGTGAGGTGGGAATGGAGATTTCGCAGTAGCCTTCCCCTGCCCCGCCCACCAAGCCACACCCACCAAGCCACACCACACCCACCAAGCTATGCCCACAGAACCGTTAGTAAAAAAATTTGGATTTCACCACTGCCTGTGCAGCTATGCAATTTTCTTTACAAGGATGTTTTGGATATGCAAAGCTGGAAGAGATGCAAACTACACAGTGGTGAAATTCAAAATTTTTCCCTACCGGTTCTGTGGGCGTGGCTTGGTGGGCGTGGCTTGGTGGCAGTGGTGAAATTCAAATTTTTTTTACGACCTGTTCTGTGGGCATGGCTTGGTGGGCATGGCAAGGGGAAGGATACTGTAAAATCTCCATTCCCACCTCATTCTGGGATCAGCCAGAGGTGGTATTTGCCGGTTTTCCGAACTACTCAAAATTTCCGCTACCGGTTCTCCAGAACCTGTCAGAACCTGCTGGATTTCACCCCTGATCCTACAGCATCCTCTTCGCTCTTAGGGGATGTCATGCATCCACCACAAAGTATATCCAAATGCCTCTTTTTTCCTGCCTGCTTTTTTTTGAGATGCTTCCGGCCTCTGCCTGCTGCATCAGCAGTGGAACATTAATTTTGTAGTATTCTATCGAGAGTGATTTTTGAAATCTGTCTGAGAGCTGGGCAGAAGAACGATCTCTGCTGGCCCAAAGGGGCTTTTTCCAAAAGGCAAGTGGGCTTCCTCGGTTTGGATGAGAAGTGAAACGCTTTCAAAGAAAAACGACAACAACAAGAAAGTCCAGTTGACTTTTGAAAAAAACACCTTTGGGACAACCAGGATCTGGATGATTGAGAATCTCCACAGACAACATCTGCTAGTCTACTGACCAATGAAAAGTGGAAAAATATGCTACGGAGAAGCAAACGGGGGGCTTCTGGGATAAGAAGGAAATGGGAGTGGAAAAGTAAAGTTACTGGGTTTCTAGCAATCAGCCTTTAGCAATATATATGAGCCATGGTGGCACAGTGGTTAGAGTGCAGTATTGCAGGGTACCAGCAGTTCGAATCTCAACAGACTGAAGGTTGACTCAGCCTTCCATCCTTCCGAGGTGGGTAAAATAAGGATCCAGATTGTTGGGAGCAATTGTTCTGTCCCCATCACACACGCACACACACCAACAGACGTTCAAGAGTTAAAGACCAAACCAGCCGGCAAAATCCTTTTCCTTATGATAATGGAACTTGGCAACAACCTAGTGGCTGCCTGCCAAGAGTTTATTATTTATGAAGAGGAGAGATAACTTCTCCCCACTTCTGGTACATCAAAAGAAACAGCTCAATAATTACGGAGTCAATCAAGTCCAGAGATAATCCAGCAAAGTCTATAGCAAAAAGTCCGGCAATGCAGAATAGCGTGGAAGCTTTCAGCTTTGTTCGTCACAAGGTTTGACTGGCCACCACGCTCCCTTTTATATCCTGTGGGGTCCAGTGACTCAGCCTAATCTCGGGCACGCCTTTTCTTCTGTTGCGTGCGATTATCTCTGCGACGCTGGCGTGGATCCAGCCAAGACTCATTATCCTCATCACTGTCCATCTGTGGCTGCGTGGATGTGCTTGGCCCCGGCCCTATCTCTTGCCCTTCAGCGGACACCGAAGGCATTGCCAGAGAGGAGGGTCCTGGAGAGGGAGGCCTTGCCAAGAGAGGACTCTCAGAGTCCTCTCTTGCCGATGACACAGGCTCAGGTAACGGAGCCACAACAGCAATAGGCTGACTCTGTAAACCGCTTAGAGAGGGCTGGAAAGCACTGTGAAGCGGTATATACTGTATTTTTCGGAGTATAAAACGCACCTTTTTCCCCCCAAAAAGAGGGTGAAAATCTGGGTGTGTCTTAAACTCCGAATGTAGCCTTGCCCAGCCTCACAAACAGAGATTTCAGAGGCTGAAAAGAAGCCTCTGAAAGAAGCTTCAGAAAAAAAGCCCCTGAAAGATTTCATCTAAAATAATATGGCAAGCAACAAAAGAAGAATCAGTAAAGGTTCTAACCAAATTATGTTAACAAATCTGGAGAGTGACACCATAATCAACAGATTGGAAGAGGTTAATCTACATACCAATACCAAAGAAAGGAGATTGAACAGAGTACAGATAGTCCTTCAGAATAAAAGCCTCTGAAAGAAGCTTCACAAAAAAAACCCTTTTTTTCTGAAGCTCTGTTTCGGAGGCTTTCAGAGGCAGAAAAAGAGTTTTTTCTGAAACAGAGTTTCAGAAGTTTCAGAGGCAGAAAAAAAAAGCAAGGCACAGAGCTCACAACCAAGGAACCTGTTGCTAAAAGTCACCGCTGGAAACAGCTGATTGGGGGTATTCTGGGAGGCCGATCCACCCGCCAATCAGCTTTTTTCTTATCTTCCTCCCCAAAAACTAAGGTGTGTCTTATACTCCAAAAAATACGGTAAGTCTAAGTGCTATTGGTATTTTTGGAAGTTAACTGATTGTACAGGGTTGATAAGCTTTATGTTATATCATTGCTTAGTACAGATAATATTCGACTTACAATAGTTTGTTTAGTGACCGTTCAAAGTTACAACGGCACTGAAAAAAGTGACTTATGACCATTTTTCACACTTACAACCGTTGCAGCATCCCCATGGTCACATGATCAAAATTAAAATGCTTGGGAACCGGCTCGTATCTGTGACAATTGCAGTGTCCCAAGATCACATGATCAACGAGAGTCAAAGGGGAAGCCAGATTCACTTAACAACCACGTTACTAATTTACCCACTGCAGTGATTCACTTAACAACCGTGGCAAGAAAGGTCTTAATATGGGGTAAAATTCTTTTAACAAATGTTTCACTTAGCAGCAGAAATTTTGGGCTCAATTGTGGTCGTAAGTCGAGTATTACCTGTGCATTATCCCTTTATCCTGTTATATCACTGCTTTGAGTCTTCTGGGAGAGCTGTATAAAAAAATGTAAAGCAGTGTGATCAATCAGTCAATACTGACTGATGGAACTGAGCAAGAGGACCGATCAGTGGTGGCATTCAAATTTTTTTACTACTGGTTTTGTGGGTGTGGCTAGGTGGGTATGGCTAGGTGGCCATGTGACTGAGTGGGTGTAGCTATGTGACTGAGTGGGCGTGGCTATGTGGCCATGTGACTGGGTGGGCGTGGCTAGATGGCTGTGTGACTGGGTGGGCATGGCTAGGTGGCTGTGTGACTGGGTGGGCGCGGCCAACTGGGCATCATTTCTTTGCCCCAATTACTGTTTTAAGTATAAACAGTTTGGACTCAATTGTGGTTGTAAGTTGAGGACTAACTGTACAGGTGAGACAGCGACTTTCCAAAAAACGGTGGGCACGATCCTAGTTCCCCCTATGAGGATTCCCCCATCCAGTGGAACTGAGGACCACTTGGAGAAGAAAAAAAAAAAGAGAGAAAATGCTGGAGAATTTAAATCAAATCAGACTTACCTCTATGCTCACCAACCACTGCTTCACAGCCACAAAGGTGTCTTGTGCTGTTACGTCATACATCACAACAACCCCATCGACTTTCCGGAAGAACTGCTTCGTGATGCTGCGATACCTGGAAGTCAGTGATTTTACAGAATGGGAACACGAAGGAGCCATCAAACCCAGCCATCTTCCCTGCTCGGTCCAAACTCAGTTCAATTTAAAACATTCTAGACCTGTGGAGGTCTAGTCTTGTGTTTGGACACACCTGGCAAAGAGAAGCCCCACCACCCACCACCCACCATCCCTCTTGGTCGGTAGTTCAAATTGCTCTTAGCGTTGAGAAAAATTTTCTTTTTAAACATTCAGTCAGAATTCCCTTTTCTCTTTAAAGAGCTCTTTAACCGCTCTTCAAAGAAAATAACACCTGTAACCAAACTGAATTTCTAAGATTTAAGGTGCACACAGGGGTGTCATTAGGCTGAATTTCCAGTAAGATTCATCTTCTCGCTCAGAAAACTTGTTTCCTTCCTACATCCTTTGAGTTCTGCAACCTTAAACACTCAAAGAGCCATTTGGAACCATTTCCCCACAGAAAAGAAAACACCGGGAGCCACAAAACCTGGGTGGGCGTGGCCAACTCGACATCACTCCCTTCCACCAGTCACATGATGCCGTAGCCACGCCTACCCAGCCAGTCGTTAGGGCAGAGAACCAGTTGTTAAAAAACACCGGGAACCACAAAACCCTTTTGACATATCTCTCTCTCTCTCTCTCTCTCCTTCCTTCCCTCTCTCTCTCCTCCCTCTCTCTCTGTATCTCTCTGTCTCTGCCCTGGCTGCTTCTCCATCCCCCGCCGTCACCCTTACCTTCTCAGGCCAGGCGAGGAGTGACCGGGAGGGGAGGGTGAGGGGCAGGGCCAGCCAGTGGTGGGATCACCCGACAGGGAGCTGCAGCAGAGGGCCCAAAGAGCCGCATGTGGCTCCGGAGCCGCAGATTGCTGACACCTGCTCCAGTCTTTAGCCTTTAACCCTGACTCCTGGCACAAGAACCGAATTTGAAAAGTTATATCCTGGTACCTAATTCTTGTAAAAAGCTGAAGGGCAGAAAACTCCTTTAGGATTCTTAGCTTAAGAAGAAGAAGAAAAAACACAGCTGGTTTGGAAAGCAGAGGGAATAGGGAATGGCCTTGACAGACAGGAGGAAGAACTGCGAACGGCCATTTTACAGGGGCCTGAGTGGAGGCCACGACATTAACTTGAGAAAAGGCCTCAGACTAGTCCCTTCCTAGATTACAGGAAGATAAAGGGAGAACATTCAGACTTGCAAGGGTCTGTCATTGCAAAAACTAAAAGTAAAATTTTTCGCTGTCCAGTCATGTCCGACTCTAGGCGGCGGTGCTCATACCTGTTTCCTAACCTAGAGAGCCAGCAATGTCCAAAGATATTTTCCATGGTCATGTGGCCAGTATGACTATACACCGAGGTGCACAGAATGCTGTTATCTTCCCACCAAAGTGGTACCTATTTATCTACTCACATTTGCATGCTTTCGGATTGCTAGGTGGGCAGGAGCTGAGGCAAGTAACGGACGCTCATCCGTCACGTGGCGCTCAGGTCTCAAACCCAAGCTGTCAGCTCTCCAGCTGACAAACTCAGCGTCTTTACCCACTGAGCTATCCCGCCCCACTCTCTTGTCATTGCAACTGTTGCCATAAAAGAAGTCCTAATTGATAGGCGTTTATGAGGAGTAGCACCTCTGGGGGAGGGCCCTGCCTGCTGTGCCCATTTTAGGGGCACTGATTCACCGTTGGTTCTCACATCGTGCTCAGCCCTCACCTGTGGCTCCAAGTAGTTGTAACATGTTCAACAGCCACACCCCAGTAAACCGTCTCAGCAGACAGGTCAAAACAGGTGAGGGAAGCCGATAGATCTTTGGTGATTTTCCATTTACATAGTAGTGGTTTCCTACTCTGGTCTACCTTGAGGACGGACACACCTTACACAGGAATTGGGTTGAACTACACCCCCGGGGCATGCCCTACCAAGATCTCAGCCAGCAGATAAGAAGGTTTTGGATTACCTTTCTTGCCCAGCGGTGTCCCAGAGTTGCAGCACCACCTGGCTGCCATCCAAGTTCACAGTTTTCATAGAATAATCCACACCTGTAGGAGACAAACAGCTCCAATTGTATCAATCAATCAGAATAGAGCTGGAAGGGACCTCAGAGGTCTTCCAGTCCAGCCCCCTGCTCAAGCGGGAGACCCTGTACAATTTCAGACAAGTGGCCGTCCAATAATCTCTTCTTAAAAGCCTCCAGTGATGAAGCACCCACAACTTCTGAAGGCAACTTCTGTCCCGCTTGTAATTGTTCTCACCGTTGGGAAATTTCTCCCTAGTTCTAGGTTGGTTCTCTCCTTGTTAGCTTCCATCTGTTGCTTCTCCTAGTCTTCCCTCCTAGTGCTTTGGAAAATTAGTTGAACCCCCTCTTCTTTGTGGGAACCCCTCAAATCCCGGAATACTGCTATCATGTCATTGTCGTCCCCCGGTCCTTCTTTTCTCTAGACCAGTGATGGCTAATCTTTTCCGGATCGAGTGCCCAAAGCGCAAGCGTGCACCCGAATCCCCAAAATGCAACGCGTGTGCGCCAGGGGTGGGTTCTAAAAATTTTTACTACCAGTTCTGTGGGCGTGGCTTATTTTGTGGGTGTGGCTTGGAGGTCCATGTGACTAGGTGGGCGTGGCTAGCTGGTCAGAGTCATTTCTGGAAGGTCCTCGCACTTATGACCAGTCCTCGCACTTACGCCCCGACTCATCTGTTTGCTTTTTAACACTGATCAGCTGTAGGACGGCCCTTTGAAGCCCCGCAGCAAGAGTTTAAACAGGTTTTTTCCCTCTAGTCATCAGCTGGGACTCAGGAGGCAGCAATAGATTGGGGGTGGGACCAAATAAAAGGTAAGAATAACGTGGGTGGGAGGGCGGGGGGGGAGGAGAACCAGTTCAGTGACATCGTATCGTCACCGCTACCAGCTCGGCCGAACCGGACCGAACCGGGAGGAAGCCACCACTGGTGTGCACCTCCCTGCATGCACGCGCAGCCCCCTGCATGCCCCCTGCCCCCCTAGCATGCGCCCCGCCCCCTGCACATGCCGACAGAGACCCAAAGATCAGCTGGCTGGTGGGGGGGCGCACATGGATGCGCAGTGGAGCTGAACTGGGGTGACATCTACAGCTCTAGACTGTCCATACCTGATTCCTGCATCTGTTCTTCATATGTTTTTGTCTCCAGGTCCTTAATCATCTTAGTTGCTCTTCTTACAGTTGCTTCTTAGTTGCTATCTTCTTAAGATACCAGTAGTTGTTATCTTACAAAATTACAGAGTTGGATGGGACCTTGGAGGTCTTCTAGTCCACTCCCTGCTCAAGCAGGAGACTTTATTCCATTCTGGACAAAGGGTTGTCCAATCTCTTCTTAAAAGCCTCCATCTGAGTTCTATTCTTGCCACAGATCGTCTCTAACAGAAACTGCCCAGGTATTGATTTTATTCATTTATTTAAATCCCACCGTTATCATTTTCTCAAATAACTGAAAGTGATGAAGACACTTTCCTCCTCCTCCCATTTTCTCCACAAGTCACCCAGCCTTTACTTCTACGCCAAACTGGCTCTCTTGGTAGTCTGGAAGATGTTTCAACAATTTAGCTTTGATTTCCATTTTTTTTTCCCAAATTGTTTCATATGTTTGGCAAATGGACTTTTTTGGACTCGGTTCTTTAATAAATTGGAAACTTCCAAAATTTCTAAATATTTGTAGCCTTCTACGTTGGATAGACAGTGGATATTTCCAATCTGAATTCCAAATACCACTGTTATTTATTTATTTATTTATTTATTTATTTATTGGTTCGATTTATATGCCGCCCTTCTCCGGAGACTCGTGGCGGCTTACAATGCGTTAAGCAATAGCCTTCATACTTTTGTATATACCTGCTTAGTAGGGCTTTTTTGGGGGCCCCTAAGCGGTGTTCTTTTTATACAAAGTCAGCTTATTGCCCCCACAATCCGGGTCATCATTTTACCTACCTCGAAAGGATGGAAGGCTGAGTCAGTCTTGAGCATGGTGAGATTTGAACTTGCAGTAATTGCAGGCAGCTGGTGCTACTTAACAGCACTTTAGTCTGCTGCTCCACCAAGGCTCTTTTAATAACAAGGTTTGTTATTCATGGGTCTGTCAAGTGCTGGGGAACTCAGGAGATTCAGGGGGTTGAAATGAGTACAGGCAGTCCTCGACTTAGTGACCGTTCAAAGTTACAACATCACTGAATGAAAAAACTATTTTAGCATCCCCACAGTCACATAATTTACATTGGAATGCTTGACCACCGACTCACATTTATGACAGTTGCAGTGTCCAGAAGTCATGAATCACCTTTTGTGACCTTCTCAGAAGCAAAGTAAGCGGGGAAGCCAGATTCACATTCACTTAACAACCATGTTACTAATTTAACAACGGCTGGGCTGTGATTCACTTAACAAATATGGCAAGGAACGTCATAAAACAGGGCAAAACTCACTTAACAAATTTCTCACTGAACAACGTAAATTTTGGGCTCAATTGTGATCACGCATTGAGGACTACCTGTACAAAGTTTTATTGCAAGCTTAAGCGCTCTACAAGAATCTGAGCTACTAACAGTCAAGGGAAATGAGCGGGAATTAAATAGGCATTCAAGGTGGGATGGACTTAGGGGAGACATGATAGCAGTGTTCCAGTATCTCAGGGGTTGACACAAAGAAGAGGGAGTCAAGCTGTTCTCCAAAGCCCCTGAAGGCAGGACAAGAAGCAATGGGTGGAAACTAATCAAGGAGAGAAGCAACTTAGAACTAAGGAGAAATTTCCTGACAGTGAGAACAATTAACCAGTGGAACAACTTGCCTCCAGAAGTTGTCAATGCTCCAACACTGGAAGTTTTTAAGAAGATGTTGGGTAACCATTTGTTAGTGGTGTAGGGCTTCCTGCCTAAGCAGGGGGTTGGACTAGAAGACCTCCAAGGTCCCTTCCAATTCTGTTATTCTATTCTATTCTATTCTATTCTATTCCATTCCATTCCATTCCATTCCATCTCTTATGGGCACGCAGGGACTAGAGACTGATGACGTGTTTGACCCCTTCCTCGGGCTCAGCCTGGTCATTTCCTACAGGGACATGACACCAAGAAAATGAACGGCGTTATCATTTATCGCAAGCAAGAAATTATCGCCCAAGCAAGGAAAAGATTCTCAACGGTTAATGGTCGCATTACGACCATCCCAATCTGTGCCAAGTCTCTCAAAACCACAGTTGTCCAAGCCTTGGTCCCAACGGCTGATGCCGCTGAGCTTGAAATAGAAGGTTTCTATGCCAGTGCTGAGAAAACTCTAAAAACCCAAGTGTTGAAAAATGACATCGTTTACATTCTGGGGAATTTTTAATAATAATAATAAAAAACCTGGCAGTCAAACAGTTCTGACAGCTTTGGATTTGAAGCGAGAGGAATGATGCAATTTGATTTGTTCGGTTCAATTTTGCCATCAAAACCGATTTCAAATCATGAATATCTGGTTCAAACAGCACAACGGTTGCTGATACACATGGGGCTCATCAAATAAACTGCACTGAATCAGAATCAGAATAGAGCTGGAAGGGACCTTGGAGGTCTTCTAGTCCAGCCCCCTGCTCAAGCAGGAGAACCTATACCAGTGATGGCTAACCTTTTTGCCATCCCGTGCCAGGAGGGGGGGGCGGGGGAGATTCGCGCGTGCGCACACCCATAATTCTATGTGTCCCACCCTGAGCATGCGCGTGCAACCCCCCTCCCCCCCCCGCTCCTGGCACGCAATGGCCTGGTAGGGCCGTTTTTCTTTCTCACCTGGCTCCAGATCCTATCTATGCATCTGGGGAGGGCGAAAACAGCCTTCCCCACCCCCTCGGAGGCTCCAGGTTTTTGAGATGACATTTCATAACCATTCATAAAGTGAAATGAAATTTAAAATATATTCATAAACGTCAGGAAGGTAAGCTTGCAAACTTAAATAAATAAGTAATGAAATTAAAATCCACTAAATTACATAAATAACTGCTCACTGAGCTTCAGATGAATAAAGGTTACAGTATGTCAAACAAGGCTGCAAGGCGGCTTTGCTATAGACACACAGTACAGTGCCGTAATGGCGAACCTATGGCACGCATGCCACAGGTGGCACGTGTAGCCATATTGGTGGGCACGCGAGCTCAGCTCCGGCACCAGCTGATTTTTGGGCCTTCTGGGCCCACCAGAAGTAGGGAAACAGGCTGTTTCCTGCCCCTGGAGGGCCTTTCCCACCCTGCCAGAGGCCCTCCGGAGGCCGGAAACAGCCATTTGCCAACTTCCGGTGGGAAGACCCGTTTCTTGCTCTCCCCAGCCTCCAGAACAGTGGGACTGGAAGTTGGCAAATGGGCCATTTCCGGCCTCCGGGGGGGGGGAGGCTGTTTTCACCCTCTCCAAGCTCCTAGAAAGGCTCTGGAGCCTGGGAAAGAGCAAAAAATGGGCCTTCCGGTCCCACCGGAAGTTGGCAAACAGGCAGTTTCCAGCCTCCGGAGAGCCTCCAGGAGGGTGGGGAAGGCCGTTTTCGCCCTCCCCAAGCTCCTAGAAAGGCTCTGGAGCTTGGGGAAGAGCAAAAAACGGGCCTTCCGGTCCCACCAGAAGTTGGCAAACAGGCAGTTTCCGGCCTCTGAAGAGCCTCCGGGGGGAGGGAGGAAGGCCGTTTTCACCCTCCCCAAGCTCCTAGAAAGGCTCTGGAGCTTGGGGAAGAGCAAAAAACGGGCCTTCCGGTCCCACCGGAAGTTGGCAAACAGGCAGTTTCCGGCCTCCGGAGGGCCCCCGGGCAGGTGGGGAAGGCCGTTTTCGCCCTCCCCAAGCTCCTAGAAAGGCTCTGGAGCTTGGGGAAGAGCAAAAAAACGGGCCTTCCGGTCCCACCAGAAGTTGGCAAACAGGCAGTTTCCGACCTCCCAAAAGCCTCCAAGGGGGTGGGGGAGGCCATTTTCTCCCTCCCCAAGCTCCTAGAACGGCTCCGGAGCCTGGGGTGAGAGAAAAACGGGCCTACCGGGCCCACCTTGCTATCACGTGCCAGGAGCGGGGGGGAGTGGG